GGTATAACGATAGAGTACTTGGTCTCAATGAACATACTAAACCATTAAAGTCGGAAACTGGTTCAATTATAAATATTGTTGATTTTTGAAAATTTGCTTTTAGAAAATACTCCGAGTTAACGTGTTTGTTCATTTTCAATTATGTGTAATCAATGCACTCATAAATAATTAATTTTTTTATTGATTAAGTCGATTATTTACACATATCGGGAAGTTCAGGTAACTTGCCTCAAGGCAAAATACCAATATCAACTAGTTTATTTATTCATAAGCAATCCCTAATAAATAGTTCAAACGTTGTTACACTTGAATTGTTAGCAATGATTTAGAAAATAGAGACGATTTAGAAACAAATGGAAATCAGTACGCTATTAGTTTTTTAAATACCACTATATTGGCAAACAAATCTTTAAAACTAAATCATGTTGCAACAAGTAATTATTTATAAATTTTCTATTATTTGCAGATCTGGATATGCAATTTTCTAACACCCATACATGGAATCGAACAAGAGCCTCTTGGGAAAAGGACAGGTATCCTAGCCATTAAGGCTAAATTCTTATAAAAATGTAGCATATCATATAAATATTAAATTTACTGATTTTAAAAAAATATTCTAAAGAATTGATGTGAACAGTATTTTACATGTGAGCTAATTTTCACATATAAAGATGAGGAATATATATATATATTATATATATATATATATATATATATTATATATATATATTATATATATATATATATATATAATTTGTGTATATACATGTGCCAATTAATATTGGTTGTTTGTTTGCTTGTGCAATTTTGTATGACAAGATATAAAAACGCAATATTTGTTTTTAAACAAATAGTTAAAATAATATTTATTATTAATAAATAGTCATATATGTAGTGATTTTATAAATAATGTTCAATTATGGGTATGAAAATTTAAGAAATTACTTGTAAAAAGGTTCCGAAATGAAATCTTATATTTAATTTAATCGATTTAAAAAATATTTTGTGTGACAAGAGATGTAAAATATAAATCCTACTGGGTACTTGAAGTGTAATGATGTATAAAGTTGTATCAGAATAGAATTTATTTCGATTGTCCAATTTTTGGACCGATTCTGCCGCATAACAGACCAATGTTATGGCAAGGCTATGTTATGAAAAACTTTCCATACTAAAGTCATGTGGTTGATGTGCAATCAGGCGTTTTTCTCAGGTTGTCAGATAGAAAGCCTAACCTAGAAACCGCACAAATGTTAAAAAACGATGTTAGATAACAGGGACTTCCTGATTTAGGTTCATAACATAACAGTAACGTTGCAGTTTATGTGTAAAACGCCTGAATGCACAGAGAATACATGAATTTTGACAGTATGCAGTATGATTCAGTAGCATAATGTATGAAAGTTGGAGCTTAATATGGCCGTCATTTTCTTTCGGGTCATTTTGTTTTGGTTAGAATAACAACAAATTAATTGTGTGAGAAGCAGAGAACTTTATAAATAATTTAAATTAATTATAAGAAATCACTGTGTTGTGTATTTGTAATATATCTAATATATAAATAAAATTTTGCAATATAATAGTAGTGTGTGATAGAGGTGGCGATGTCACTAGGTATATCAATACATCTATTTTGGCCTTAGCATTGTTTTAATAAAAATCTATAATGATTTTTTAAATATTATTTTAAAATTGATGCTCTAAAGTCAAATTCAAATCCTTTATTTGCAAATTAACTGTAAATTTCAATAACAATTTGAATGAAGCAAAAGATATTTGGAAACTACTTATTTGCCTTAGTGACCTCAAACTTCTAACAAATGATGTATACTTAATCCGATATTACAATGCCATTTTAGGAAAAGGAGTATGTATGTATTTTTTGCTGGTACCAAAGAAATTATAAATTAATTTATAATTGTTAATGAAGGAGTGAAATACCACAAGCTAATGAGACATATGATATAAAATTCATTCAAGGCAAAACTGAAATTTGTACAATGTTAGATACAATTGAGTTGCAATGTTAGTTGTGATCTATGAAGATATTTTGGAGATCATGATGAGTAAAGAACTTTGACTTTTGTTTTTATGCTCACGAATAAAAAATATCTCTTTACTCTAAAAAGACTAATTTGGCATTGACCAAAATAAACAAGTTGATTCCATTTTTTTTAATTTTTAGTTAGTTAAGAGTTTTTTCAAAAAATCTGGATGATTTCTACTATTACTCCGGCATTTTCTTCTTTATATTTTATTATTATTTTATTATCTAAAAATTACAATTTTAAATAACAAATTCAGTTTGTGGCATGTGTTTCTTCAAGTGAGACTTTTGCAGTCTATTAACATATTTACATGTACATATAAATATAATGTGATTTTGTCTAGTCGTAAAATAAATTTGATCTTTTTTTAAACTACATATAATTATGATATTATATAAGAAAAATATTTTTTTCGTTTATTATTTTTGTGTTAGGACTGTGAAATAAATTAATTAAAAATGTCTACAATCTAAGTTGTATGAAAACAAAAAGACGATCGAAAGATTAACTTGTAAGATATTGATAAAATAAAATAAACTGTGAAAAACTTGATTATGAAATTCTAGCATTTGTTTTTCTTGAAATTATAATTAACTTGTTGGTATTGGTGTTTTTCCTTGAGGCAAGTCACATGAACTTCCCGATATGTGTAAATAATCGACTTAATCAATAAAAAACTAGTGGGGTGGGTGGCATCGTGCCTTAAGGCAAATTGCTGGAACTTCCCGTACCGTAACGAAATGTTCGAGGATTACTGAATGTTTTTAAATAGATTATTATAAATATTGTAACATTGTCTAATATTTATAAATATTATATAAACTGAATTGCAGAGTTGAAATTATTTGTAAAGTATATTAGAACTATAGTCAGAATTAAAAATAAATATTTTCGATATACAAAAAACTAAAAAAAAAAAAAAAAAAAAAATTGGACAAATTTTTTTTTCCAAAATCGATTATTTTGTTAAGACAAGCAGAAAGTTCTTTGAATCATTTAAATCGGACGCTTAGTTCTCTCAAAAACTGCCATTTTTTACATATTTAGCTCCGTATCTTCAAAATGGCTGGGCCTGTCTTTGCCAAAAACTAATAAACACTTCTCCCAATCATTACTAATTGAATGTTTTTTAGATCATTCAAATCGGATACTCCGTTCTCTCAAAAATACGATTTCTATTTTCTGCACTCTTTGCTCCGTATCTCCGAAACGGCTGGACCTGCCTTTGCCAAAAACTAATCAGCTCTTTTCCCTATCAATAGGAATCGGATGTTTTTTGAACGATTCAAATCGGTTGATCCGTGCGCCCTAAAACGTGACTGGAAATTTGTATCCACACATACATACACACACACACATCCATTTTTTCTGAGGTATGCCAAAACGTTCAGAAACCTTCAAAACGTCGAGAAATGTAAAAATTTTCAATACCGATTTTCGGCCCATTACAATAACTTACCCTACGGGAAGTTAAAAATTAATTTATAAGTAATTAAAAGTATTCCAAGTGGATTTATTACACATTGTTGAAAACGAACAAACTTAACGTGTTCGGAGTTCGGAGTATTTTTTGAAAGCAATGGTCTCATTCGATTCAGAATGGCTTGAAACCTCGAGAAAATATAAAATTAGCAAATCAGATTTTTTGATGAAAACATAAACTCCTCCTTCGGGAAGTTAATAAAATTAAATTATAATTAATCAGTTAAACTAAATAGTGCTTGTTATAAATTTATTCCAAGGATGAGCAACCTTTTTTACTCAAGGGCCGCATTTAAATTCAAAAGCGTTTGGGCCTATCGTAAAAATGATGTATGTGTATGTGTGTGTGTTCGGATACAAATTTTTGTCAAATTTCGGGAACTCGGATCAACCAATTTTAATAATTGAAAAAACATTCGAGTCGTATTGATGGGAAAAGGCAAGTCCGGCCGTTTCGAAAACACAGGACAAAAGTGCCGAAAATGGTATTTCAGTTTTTTAATGAACGAAGCGTCCGATTTCACTAATTAAAAAAACATGTTACTTGTATTGACTAAGTGAACTACTGATTGAATTTTGGAAATGCAGGCCTAGCGGTTTAGGAGATCCAATAAAAAAAGTAAAAAATGCTATTTGGCGGTCAAAAATGATTATCAGACATATGGACATCAAATTATCAGATATTTTATAGAGATTTCAATAATAAGAACTAACTTTGCTTACTTTTCTATGGCTTCCATGGCTTCTATCCGTTACACTGCGACGCGGCTCAGGTAAAATTTCAAAAATTTCAAAATTCTCAAAACTTCATTTCTTCAAAGATTAAAAAAATTTAATGTTTTTCAAATAATTTAATTTTCGGTACGGAAAGTTCCAGCAATTTGCCTTAAAACACGATGCCATGCACTCACTAACTAAAACCCATGCACCTTGTACATAACTGTCAAACAGATTTATCAACGTACGCAAACTTCTTGCTGATTCACAAACGATGGAATCGGTGTACTATTTGTCAAATCATTTTGTTGATTTATATTTCGATTTGATTGTATATTTATTATAATATAATATTATCTAGTATATTTTTAACATAATATGATTGTAATACCAAATTTAGTTTTAAATACCCGATTACTAAAATTCATTAATTTTCATTTCAAATTTTGCGCCATTAATTTGAATGCCACAAGCAGCGCCCTCACATCTTAACGGAGGAGAGAGAAACGTCTATATGAATACGTTAAATTCTAATATGTCTAGCTACTATGTGGTGAATTAATATAGGGATATTTAATAAAAAAATGAACAAGTGACATTGCCATGTAGTTTTTTTTATACATTTCACATTTATTTTTAATTCGTTTTATTACTAATAGTTTATAAATATATTTTTAACAGCACAAAATGAATCTACTAGAACTTGACAGTTTTAGGTTATGGTGTGTGTCAAAATACTTGTTTGATGTAGAATAATCAAGTGTTTATATCAGTATGGACCTTTTAAAATGTTTAAATTGGAATCTTATATTACACCTATATTGTTAAGTTATGTGGACAAATATATAAAAAATTTTAGGCCTGAAGATTCACAGGTAACTATTTTTGAAACGTCACTTAGTAATTGTCATATGATATTTTATTGTTTATATTTTGATATATGTTTCTGAAATAGAAACCAGGTCATTGTTTTAAATTTAAATTAAATTATATGATCTTTTTATCAAAAACCTACAATTTACATGGGAAATATGTTGATAGATGTTTATATTCATTGTTCAAAATAATTGAAATTGGCTTTAATAGTCTAAATCATCTTTCATTCTTGTTCGATATATATAAGGTTCGGAAAGTCACTTCGTTTTTTTACCACATGAATTTAACTATATTTGTTTGAACCTAACATCACACTTAAGCCCTATAATTATTATATGATTTGAAAACTTATATTTTAAGGCTTGTGTATAAAAAATTCTAATCCCTAACATATAGTAGTTTTTGGATGGTGCCACTTTGAATATGAAAAAAATTAAGCACCATTTTCAACATGTCTTACTTTTTTGCTATAGAAAAGGTATAAATACTGTTTAAGTCAAAATGAAATTTACTGATGTTTACAAAAATGACTTGTTAATTGTACGACAGTGCTAAAATTAGTTTGCTAAATTTCGTTCCTGGTATTTTGATGTCCAAGATGCACCAAGCCCAAGAAGTACGGTTGAAGCTGGTAAAGACGCAAGAAAGATATTAGTTGATGCAAACTGGTGAATAACAATACATGAGATCCAATTGAGTTAAAATTTATCAAATTTAACAGTTTATGACCACTCAAAAGGTCTGGAATTTTCCTCGAAATTAAATGTATGGTTTTCATACAAAGAAACGAGTGTCATCGCATTGGCGTCTGCGATTTGCCTCTGAAAAGTCATGAAAATTATCTAGGAATGTCCTGAAAATTTTACTAGGAATGTCAAATGGATGTAAAGAGTATACTCTTTACACGCAATACACGCAATTGACCATGAAACAAAAAAGAAGAACCTGCTCAAAACAGGTGCAAAGCTGAAATTTGTCAGAAAAGGTGATGCTGAATGTTTGGTAAGATTTTAAAGGAGTTGTTCATTTTTCAGCTTTTCTAGGATAACATAACGGGTAATTCGGATGCCTTATGTCATCAGCTGGATAAACTAAATGATATACTTCAATAGAAAAGGTCAGAATTAAACCACAAGCAAGGTATAGTCCTGCATCAAGACCGCACAAGACCTCACAAAAGTTTGGTCAAAAGCTTTTGAAGCTTCAATGGGACCCAATAACACATTCATCTTATTCTCCAGACCTGCCATCATTGGATCATTATTAGTTCCGGTCACTAAAAAAATTTTTAGGCGATGAATCTTTGCTTCAAATAAGCTTGTCAAAAAGCACTTTGATCAGTTTTTGCCTATAACGACCAAAACAATCATGATTTCGGAATTATGCTAATACCAGAAATAAGACAAAAGATGTACAATCAAAATTGCCAATACATAATTTATTAAAGTATTTGTTTATTGTAACAAAATTTTGTGCCAAAATGTCTATAAAAACGAAGCTACTTTCCGAACACCCCAATATTTTCAAATAGTTTATAATAGTTTGATTCTTTAATTTATTTAACAATTATTATATAAACCTTTGCAGATATAAAAAGAATTATAAAACATCAATCTATTCCCATATATAAAATTAACTTACTTTATTGTATTAACTTACTTTATATGTAATTTCAATTTAATTTTATATGGTAGCTTATTTTGTAGTTGATTTTGCATTTCTTAACAAACTAAACGAGTTTTTTTTTTTGGTTTTAGAGTTTTCAGTGTAAATATTTACTACCTGTCTACTTTCGTGATCATGAATAACCTGATTCATTTTAATTATGATATATATTTGATTCTATGTCAGGGCATTTTTTTATTTCTATTTTATCTAGTATCATGTTGTTTGTTTCCTTCAATTCTTCTCTTGGAGAAATTTATATTATAACAGTACAAAAAACAAGAATGAACAACAAAGATATTTATTCTGTACCATTTTTCATTGGTGTGTATCATGTGAATCATGTGTCTCATGATTCAACACAACACAAAAAATAAAATATTTGAGTTGACCTCTATTACATATATTTCAAATAATATGAATTAAATACTCTTTTTACATTTCTAGGTTTCATTATGGGGTGGCGAAGTTTCATTCCACAACCTAGATCTCCGTCTAGATGTTTTAGAAGAAGAATTGCAGTCACTTCAGTTCAGTATAGTCTCAGGTCATATTCATGAATTATTAATACGGGTTCCTTGGACAAAACTTGCATCAGAACCAATAACAGTCACAATAAACACTATAGAGTGCATAATCAAATTAAAAGATAACACCAGACATGCAATAACAGCTCGGAAAGTGGAAGTAGCAGTGGGAGTGGGAAAGTGCCAAAGAAAAGAGGAAGGCAGCGGCTAAAAAGTGAGTTTTTTTGGTGACTGTATATATACTTACATTTATTTTTATTATTTTTGATAAATTTAATTATGTAAATCTAATTTTATTTATTCACTGCTTTCTTAACTTATAGTTGATAGTTTTTTTTTTATAGTTAGGATAGTTTTAATGAAATTGAGTGAAACTGTTCAAATTTTTGGTTTCATATTACATGCTAATTGTCTTATCATGCAGTGATAATAAGTTTATCATTATAGTTACATTACATACATCATCGACTATTTATTTGATTTATATTTTTTTTTATTTATTTGATATAATTCATACATACTATATATTAGTTCGATAATTACTCTGTTATGAGAGTTTGCAGCAATCAAATAAATTAATTTTAATATAACAAACTTACATTTTGATTGATATATATTACTTATACTACAACATACATTGTTATCATAATTAATTTTGCCAATTAAAAGTTCTATAATTCTGCTTTTCTTAAACATATTGTTTGCTTAATTTTATCAAGATATAGAATGTACCTAGTTCCGAAACGTTTTGTTTATTACTTTTTGATTCTTTGTTCGAAGCTCTACAAAATATTTACAAACCCAAGACTACCATCTAATATTATACCTACATACATACACGCACACAATTGTTATCATAATTAATTTTGCCAATTAAAAGTTCTATAATTCAAACAACATACACACACACACACACTCATTTGAAATAAAAGCAAAAAGCTAAGTATCAATAAAAAGTAATGTAATTAAAACAAAGTTAATTAGTGATATTAACTATTAGTAAATCATAAATTAAAAATTATAAAAATTTTTACTGATCAAT